ATTTTAAGATTAACTCAGATAAAAATACAAATTATATAAAAATACAATTTGTTACTTTGGATTCAGTGAATAGCACCTGGAAAATAGTATATTCAGAAGATGTGACTAAAATTTTGGCCAGTTTCCCCTCTTTTGATCAACAAAACTGATCAAAGAGTATTCTTGGAACATAGTCACAATGTATTTTTATTAATTGTGGAAAATGACACACATATAAAAATATTTTATAAAATAAAAAATATATGCTTAATTAAACATTATAAATCTAGTCTACTGGATATGTATTGAGATCTCATTCTTGTTTTAATTTTTATTTATTATTTATAATAAATAAAATTTATTATATTGAGCATATTAGGATATATTTATTTATTTGAGAGTATCTTGTGAAATAGCTGTTCTCTTTTTAATGATGAATGTATCTGTTTTATGTTGATTTATCAAAGTCATTTATATATTTTGGAATGTATTTTTTGTTCTTTTGTTGATTATATGTAGTACAAATGCCTTTTCCCATTCTCTGGCTTGCTTTCCTACTTTCTGTCTTTCTTTTTATTACTTTTATTTATTTATTTATTTTTGAGACAGTGTCCCACTCTGTCACCAGGCTGGAGTTCAGTGGCATGATCTTGGCTCACTGCAACCTCCTTGTCCTGTGTTCAAGTGATTCTCCTGCTTCAGCCTCCTGGACTACACGTGCATGCCACCATGCCCAGCTAATTTTTGTATTTTTAGTAGAGATGGAGTTTTATCATGTTGGCCAGGATGGTCTCAATCTCTTGACCTCATGATCCACCCGCCTTGGCCTCCCAAATTGCTGGGATTACAGGTGTGAGCCACCGTACCCGGCTGCATTTTACTTTCTTAATGGTATTCTTCGATAATTGCAAAAATCTTTATTTTAATATAGCTTACTTTTGAAACTTTTTTTATTATGAATTGTAAATTTTGATTGAACTATGGTCAGAAAACAAATGCTATATAATTCAAATTTTTAAAAATTTGTTAAACTGCTTTATTATCGTCATATGATTACTTTGTTAAAATGTCTTATGCATTCTTAAAAAGAATATGCATTCTTTGTGGGTCTAGTTTTCCATCTATGCCTGTTATGTCAAATATGCAAACTGCATTATTCAAAACTGCTGTATCATTACTGATTTTGTTTAGGGACAGTTGTGTTGGCTTTACTACAAGTATTATAGGTATATCCATCTGTCCTTGTAGTTCTGTTGATTTTTGCATTATATATTTTGAAGCTATAATGGTAGGTACATAAACGCTTAAAAGTTGTAATTTATGAATTGGCGAAGTGAGTCTTTTTTTACTATGGGGTATTTCTCTTTACTCCAATTGTTTTCTCCAGGAGGGTTGGTAAACACTTACCAAGTTAAACATTTCTGGAATAAAATATCTTCAAATAAAGTTGCTGGTAGTACAAAGTTTCTTCTCACAGCTCACTGAGAGAAGGAGGCAATCAGGTAAATGGCCTTTTTGGTATAGTTTTAGAAGTATTGCAATAAAACATGGTATTCTGTGATAGCCCTTAGAAGGACAGTTAACCTAGGCTTGGTTGAAAAGGACATTTCCAGAAGAGGTGGTATCTGAACTGAGTTTGAAAGTATGTAAGAGTTGGCTGTGAGAAAAAGGGGAATGAAAGCAGAGGAGGGCAGAGACCAGGAAGTGTATGGTTGCTTGGGGACTTGTATGTTTCAGCTATTAAGCATGTCAAAAAGACTGAAGAGAAAGGAAGGAGTTTTAAATGGACAAAAATGTTTCCAATTGTTTGCTATTTCAAGGGGTTTTTATATATTGGCAATTATAAATAAGTAACACTGCAGTGGAGAACTTTGAGCATTAATCTTTGTCTTTCTCCCCTACTAGTTCTTTAGGACAAGTTGCTCAAAGTAGAATTACTTTAGCAAGGGGTACAGAACATTTTACACATAAAAGGGGGCATTTAATTCAAGATCATAGAAGGCTTTTAGAAATAAATTATGGTGGAACCTAGGTTTGAGGGATGAGTCGGAGTTAGGTAAGATGAAGGTAAAGCATATAAATGCTGGGAAATCTCATGAGCACAGTGGAGAGTGAGTTGTTTGAGGGAATGGTAAATAATTTCTTATGGGTTGGCTTGGTACAAGGTGTAGTGAGTCATGTTGATATAGTGGGCTTAAATGCAAACTGGGATTATACTTGATTCCATCAAAGAGCTTTAGTTAATAAAATAATAAAATGCCATTTTTCTCTTATTCTTATCTTTGGAAGTTCCTGGAATCCATTTGTACCGAATTCCCCAAATAAATATAATGATTATCTTTTGTATACCAGAACTCATTTTCTTCCATCTCGTCAGGTGATTTTAGCATCTGGAGCACGTTTTTTCCCCATCACTGCCCACCATCATACTAAGTAATGCGTGCATCCCTTTACTTCTTTTCTATTCTTCCATATCCACACGTCCTAGGATGGTACTTATTAAGTCTAAGGCCCAACTTCACCATTTAACAGCTGCATGATTCCTGACAATCTACTTAACCTCTCTTTGCCTCAGTTTCCTCATCACGACCTCAACTGTATTCATTATGAAATTGTGAGAATTAAATTGTGCATGTGAAAACATCCACAATGTCTTTGCAGCACAATGACAATTATTTTCTTTCCCATTATGAATACACAGATTTGTTCAGGTTTAATATGCCTCTTGCTATAGTTTAGACAAGCTTTACAAAGGTAAACAAAGAATGAACTGCATATCCTGAGCATCTTCTATCTCAGAGGCAGCTACCCTCATTTCGGGCAAAGTCCATGCTGCAGAGAGCGTCTCACTTTTCTTTGATGGCTAGATTTGAGAAGAAAATGAGGATCTCAGCCTTTAAAGCTTTCCATTTAGCAGCTTTTACATATTCAGGAAGCACTTTATTTTAATATTACAATAGCAAGCATTTCCTTCTGTTAGGTCACATTTGCCTTCTTTCTGCAAGACCCTATGCTCTTTCTTTTTCCCTCAGTTACAAAAAAGAAGCCAAACTCTGGCTATTTCAGATACCAAAGATCATGGCAGGCTAACTAATTTTGCCCAGACTTTCTGTGAAAGCTCCGCATGTGCTACAGTATTGGGTTGCATAATTGATTTAATCTCTAATTTTAGAGGAACGCTGAACTCTTTTTGTGGGACTCTGCATACATTTCTCTAGGGCAAAAACTGTCCTACTTTTTTCTCTCTGGTATCTGTTTAGTGCTAGGCCATTTTTTTTCCCCCAAGACTCTAAACTACCCTCCGTGAAATAAATGAAATCACAGTTGGAAAATGGCTTACTGGACAGACTTATAATCGCAAGATAACAGCTATGCTATACACATTTACTTAACATTCTCATCCTCCCCTGCTTCCCTTCTTTCTGCTCTAGCACATCTTTATTTTCACTAAGATGATGCATCAGACTCTCAGCTGAGGAGTGGTATTTCCTACAAAGATCAGCAACACACCTTTGCTTCTTACTGGAAATATATAGGCTTGCTCACCCATTGACCTACTATATGTCTGTAGGTAGGCTTACTTACCTCTCTGAATCTGGCTTCCAACAGAGTACTAGAGTAATGGCTGTGAAGGCTGAAATATAAAGATAGATATGTAGAAAGCTTCAGACTTACCTTGTGCCTTTTGGCAAACCAGGTATATATGAAGCGTCAGCTGGGGGTATGATTTTATGTTGCTCAAAGGATCAGCAACCAAAATGAAAACCATGGAATTGTAAGTTTACAAGTTATTTCACTTCATATTTAGCAATGTCATTTTTGATTACCTTTTGGGAAATTTATAAACTGAAGAGTTACATTTGATAGCTGGTAGTTTTTATGAACGTGTCTGATTTAGTATATAATTTGAGGACTACCTTCCTACCAGTTACTTCCTAAACAACTGACTTTAATAACTTTAATATTTTGTACTCTAAGACATATTTTCCAAAGAAGCTAACCTTCCTTAGATCCATACTCACTAACACTATTCTGACAAATTCCCTGAACAATTCTCATACCATAGAAGTATGAATTTTCATATCAAACTCCACTGTTAACATCAATAAAATAGGTCAGAAACAATTCCAAATGCTGTCTGAGTATCATAGCCTTATGTATTTATGAGTCTTTATGCTGTTAAAAGAATTTAATTTTAGAAAATAACCCATAATCTATTAAATAAACCCTTAGCATAAGCAGACATTTGTTCAAATAGACTCTGTTACTTAATAGTTGGATCAATTTTGACAAGTCACTTAACTTCTAAGCCTCTTTATATGCAAATATTTAAAATTGGGATGATAATTATACTGACTTCTCAGGTTTGTTGTAAGGAGTAAATGCTAAAATGCATATAAAGTAATTTGAAGGTTATCAAGCCATAGACAGTATATTAGGCAGGTTTTGCTATAATAATGGTGTGTAACAAATAATCCCCAAATTTCAGTGGTTTACAACAAGAAATATTTATGTTAGATTTGGTTGGACTTGGCTCCAGCTTGTGTGTTCTATTCAGGTTTGCTCTTTATGTCTCTTCATTCAGATACCAGAGGCTATTTAAGGAATTCTCCATTCATGGTAGAGAACAGCATTGAAAAAGATGGCAAAAAACAAAACAGAACAAAACAACTTACCAAGTCCCTTAAAGCAACAACTGAGGACTAATATTCCTATCACTTTCACCGAAATGTCATTGGCCAAAGCAAGTCATATGACCAGGATAAATATAGATCAGGAACATTTACTCTGCCCTAATAAAGTAAGAAGAGTGAATATCTGCCAAACAATACATCAGTCTCCTTCAAAGAAGTTTACTGAACCTTTTTTTCTACTCTTATTTCATCTACATGACCACTGACTCCTCCATATAGTCTACTTCACAGTATCTACATTGCATTCTTGAAATTATACCACAATTTCTCCCTCTCTTCCTTTTAATTTCAAATTGATTTGAATGATACACTTTTCTTTGTAAACAGGTACTTTAGAAAAACCCTTAGAAAAGGAACAAAAGCTTCTGATTCTCCTTAGAGCCTCAGAGGGAGTCTTCTGTGACCGTTTGAATGGAATTCATATTGATCCAGGAACAATTGGTAAGAGTATAATATGTTTTTATTAAAAATAAAATGCATGTGTGTGTATTATGTGTTTCTGTCTGATAGAGAAATACCATTCACAGAACATGTGCTAAATTCCAAACACTCTTTTAGGTAATTTACATATATGATTTCACTTACCAGCTCTCTTGTGAGCAGTGTCCATTTTAAAGATGTAAAAACTAAGACTCAGAGATGATAAATGACAGGCATTAAAACACACAGCTTTATAGTGTCAGAATTTAGATTTATATGCAGATTAGTCAGACATCAAAGTTTAGACTAAGTCACTATTATCAACTATAAATACTATGTGATTATTGATACATTTTACAACTAATAGATCTATAAATCGATAGGAAACATTCACAGTTTCTTTATTTGCTATTGCCACAATACCAAATCTTATTTTAAATTGGTCTATATAAAAGCACAGAAGCTGGGACTGGTGTTGTAAAACCGTATGTATATATATATCCCCAATAACTCAATTTTAAGGAATAAGAAAATGTTAATCAGATTTTAAGTGTTTTCTCACTTTTTCTATGTAGGCATTACTAATTTTGTAAGTAAAGAGGGATAACTCTTTGCATAAAGCCATTTTCTTTAAGAATGTTCATATTTTTCTTTTAGTTTTTTTCTCTCATATAATAGTTGAGATAAGTTCACTATATTCTTTCTCTTTCTCTTTCTTTTCCTTCCTCCCTCCCTCCCTCCCTCCCTCCCTCCCTCCTTCCTTCCTTCCTTCCTTCCTTCCTTCCTTCCTTCCTTCCTTCCACTTTCCCTCCTTCCTTCCTCTTTCCCTCCCTCCCTCCTTTCTTTCTTGCTTTCTTTCGACGAAGTTTTGCTCTCACTGCCCAGGCTGGAGTGCAATGGCGCAATCTCGGCTCGCTGCAACCTCAACCTTCCAGGTACAAGCGATTCTCCTGTCTCAGTCTCCCAAGTAGCTGGGATTACAGGCATGTGCCATCATGCCTGGATAATTTTTTCTATTTTTAGTAGAGGCAGGGTTTCACCATGTTGGTCAGGCTGGTCCGGAACTCCTGACCTCAGGTGATCCACCCATCTCAGCCTCCCAATATTATTCTTTTAGATATTGTATTGTCACATAGCTTAAATATGTTATTATCATGTTTAATAACATGTTATTTTCACATTAAGCTATGTGACAATACAATATCTAAAAGAATAATAAATATGTTAAATATGTTATATTTACACTATATGGCAATGCAATATCTAAAAGAATAATAAAGTATAGTGAACTTATTTCAGCAATTATATAAGTGAGAAAAAAAAAAAAAAGAACATTCTTAAAGAGAATTTATTGTTAATTTCCTTGGATTTTCCTTTAGATACATTGCTATGTTGGAGGTTTTCAAATAAGCCTTACGTTGTGACAAAAGAGCAAGGGCCATCCTTTCTGAGGTTTCTGAATGCTATGAGATATAAATGTAATATTCATTAGCAGTCAATGGCTCCCTCTCTGGATCTCAGTACTCAATAAAATGGAGACAATATTGTTAGCATAGTATGAAGTTTGTTAATTTAGTTCCATAATATATAACAATTGTCAGATAATACTTTGATGGCACTTTATAGTTTTCAAAGGGTTTTGTTCCATGCATGTTATTTATTTTATCTTTCTATTAAGAAAAGGCTCAAGAATATTTTAATTTTTCCAAGTTGACAAACTAGATGGATTATAATAAGAACATTTGATCTCCTTTTGCCTGTGGTATCCACTCTTTTCTGTAGAACAGTAACAATGCAACAAACTTTCTGTTAGGACTATCCACAGATGCCTGCTCTGATCCCCGATCCTGGCCATATGGTCAAACTAGTATCTCTGAAATTTTCTTTGTTACTAAATTGAAATAAATAATTCTTTCACTGCATGCTCAAATTTTTATAGTATCATAAGTAGATGACAAATTTTAATCCTATTAAATCATTTATAATCTTCTTGAAACAATTAAGAAATGGTGTCATTTTACAGTAAACCATTGATGATTTGAAATGACCAAAAAATCTGCTTTTCTGGTCAATTGAATTTTCTGTATAATTCAAATTTAAGGACATGAACTGCTTTTTGTTATAAACGTTTTGGTTGGAAATCTCTTTAAATTACTTCAGGATCCTTTTTGGCCTAGTTTACTTAGCCTATAGTGAAAAAAGTTGGATTTTTGTTTTGAATGATGATGTCTTATAAAATATATAAATGTTATTATGAAAGATTGGTTTCAGGGCCTGTCCTGAAAATGGGATTATTTTAATATACATTTATCCTGATTTTAGTTTTATTATCTTCTGACATTTTCATAGTTGGTATATGGAAAAAATATGAATGTTGATATAAACGGTTGGTTAAGTTTTAATTAATTGAGATTTTTTGGTGCATATCAGATGAAAACCCAAGGCATATAATTTGTACCTTAATAGTTTTCTGCTTCTTTTATTTCTATGTTTTCTGATGAAAATTGTAAAATCGTAAAATTTTTGGATTAGTGACTTGCAATAAAATTGGGTACACCAATCCAGGTATATGCAGACAATACATTTGGTTGCAGGAAAAAAATATTAAAACTTTTATTCAAATATATATTAGTATATTCATATACATGTATATTTTTTATCTAAAATAATATAAATATCTAAGTTATTTAAATAAAATATACATGTGCTTAGAGTACATAATCACATGTTTTTTCTTTTACTGCGGAGATTCATGGTCAAAACATTCTTAAACCACTAGAATATGAGGAATTATGCTTAATATGGTTGAAAATGGCAATAAAATATATAAGAGGAAAGGCTTGAAAAAATAAAACTTGGCTGTATCAAGCACGTTCCTGGTAAGACTTTAATTTGCAAGTCTGAAATAAACTACATTTTGAAACAAAGGACTTAGTGATCTCTCCCTTGATATTTATAAGACAATATATTAAGTCCAGGCACTAAACATAAAGCTAATAGCTCAAAAACTCTATCCTAAGGAGATAAAGTTCACTTTGCTTCTTGGAGAACCTAGTCTTTAACAACAACAACAAGAAATATCAAAATCAGTTAACTTCCAAAAAAATTGCAAATGGTTTGGAGTCATGTAAGAGTGGAAAGGAGTACCTCTTCAACTTTAGTCATTAGAGTGGTTTGTGTTCCACCTTTAGATTATTATGATGTGGTGTAGCATTCTTTTTTCTACAGGATTTGAGATTAAGTTTCATAACCATGTGAGATATATCTTAGTACTGTAAAATACAACATTTAAATAATGCTTTTGATAATATGGAAACTTCATGTAGAGATTCTATGTCACATGTTTTGCACAGCCGCCTCTAGAACGAGTTTTGCTTACCTGGCTTTAATTTCTCTGAAGGATTTTTCTATCCAACTGTTACTTCTTTTATTTTCAGGGGTTTATGGGAAAGTTCAGCTTTACAGTGCTTATCCTAAAAACTCCTGGACACATCTTGGAGCTGACATTGCCTCAGGAAATGAGAGGTAAGAAATGAGAGTAGCTTAGGGCTTTTTATTTATTTATTTATTTTTGGTTGTTTAGTTTGCTTCTGCTTGAGATTTTGTTACAATATGAATTGAATTTTAGATTCAACGTTAAAATTAAAGGATGAGTAAGTCGAAAAATAAGGACTTATATGGAACTTTAAAAATATCTCTATAACATAATAGAAAGAGAACAAAATATGCAAAGGGTAGTAGAGGAACACAGCTTATTTCAGGAGAAAATTTTAGATAATACATAATTATTGCTGTCCATAAAATTTCAAAAAATATGAATTCTATGAGATAAGAGATGAGGTATGAGGTGAGAATATAATGTCTAAGTTGAAAATGTAGCTTGTTAAGATACAGACAGAATTAACATAGAAGGGAGATGAAACATGAAGAATATTGTGGAATTTAATAATGCATTGGAGGCAGTAAAGAACAGAATCACTGCTGTCTCAAACTGCATAGATAATGGGAAGACAAACTGATGGAGACCTATCAGAACACAGAAGGTAAGACTAGGAAATAAAAATGACAAAAGATAAAGTGCTAGAAATAGAGATCAGAAAATTAAAAGCTATCTATGGGTAATATGTCCTTTTTAGTAAGAACCCAAATAACTACAACAGAAAGAATAATGAAAACTGTAACTGCAAAACACATAGAACACATGGGAGTAGATACATTTTATTAGAAAAGATTAAAATCAAGGATGGTGTTTGCTTCATTACATCATCTTCGTAGTATAAGAAAAACAGAGTGAAAAAAAGTAAAGGCAAGGAACATAAAGCTTTCTAGCCTTATCATTCACCTCTACACCATCACATGTGGGAAGATCGTGGTGCCACATCTATAAATGTTTAAGGAAAAAAAATATTGTGACCAAAGAATTGGACACACTGCTAAGATGTACATGTGAAAAATGGAAGAAAATTCGTGTTCAAATAAAATTAAACTAAATTGGAAATTTGAGAATAGATATAAAATTTGAGAATAATATCAATAACTATGAAGCACTAAAATAATTAAATATGATAGTGTAGCTATGGTTATTAAAACAAAACAATTCTTTTTGAGACACAGTCTCACTCTATTGCCCAGGCTGGAGTACAATGGTGCAATCTTGGCTCACTGCAACCTCCACCTCGTGGGTTCAAGCAATTCTCCTGCCTCAGCCTCCCAAGTAGCTGGGATTACAGGCATATGCCAGCATACCTGGCTAATTTTTGTATTTTTAATAGAGATGGGGTTTCACCATGTTGGTCAGGCTGGTCTTGAACTCCTGACCTCAGGTGATCCACCTGCCTTGGCATCCCAAAGTGGTGTGATTACAGGCATGAGCCACTGCTCCCCGCCTAAAACAAAACAAATTCTAGTAATTGTTCTTGTAAAAGAAATGGCGGAACATTTGAAAAGTTAATGTATTAGGGTTTTGTTTATACGAAAAATACAAAATCGGTTGGTTATGTACATTTGTGTGTATGTGTGTATCCTACCTGTTATATGTATATAAATTATACAATAGACATAGTAAATATTAATATACATATGTATATATATAAAGAGATGTATTTCAATGAACAGATTTACACAATTATGGGAGCAGGAGAGTTTAAAATCTGTAAGCAGGCCAGCACGTTGCAAAGTATGAAGAATCTGGTTTGCAGTCTTAAAGCAGAATTTGTTCTTTCCCAAGGAAACCTCAGTTTTGCTTTTAAGGCCTTCCAACTGATTGATGAGGCCCACCCACATTATTGGGTGGCCTAATCTTTTAAAACTCAACTGACTGTGTTAACCACATCGACGAAATACTTTCACAGTAACACCTAGATTAATGTTTGATTGAATAACAGTGTATAATAGCTTAGCAAATACGAGACATAAATGAATCTTCACCATTCAAAATCTCAGATAAAAATCTGGAACTATAGCCATAGAGGGTAAATATGACTTAATTTATTTTATTAGAATTTTTAATAGCATATACTTTCCAGATCACCAGAGGGGAAAAAAATTGAAAGAAACCATAAAATAAACAGTAAAATAAAAAAGAAGAAGGAAATGAAATGATAGAGAATAAAAGCAACAAAAAGTATATTTAAAAAAACAGAAATAAGAAAGTAAGAATAAATTTGCCAGTTATAAAAATAAAATATTTGTTAAAAATGATGCTATAGAGAAAAACTGTGCTAAAAGTCAAAATATAATGACAACATTTTTTTTTTTTTAACCAGAGGAAAATTTAAAACCAACTAGGAGAAATTTAAGGTTAAATATTGGATAAGAATAAATCATTGACATTTAAAACAAAATAAAAGAGCCTCAAAATTATTAACACAACTGGTAAAAATCAAAATAAATGTTTCAAATTGGTTAAATAATTATACTCTACATTAGTAAAGACTTCAATCTCAGCAAGACCCTAACAGTCAGAAAAGTTTTCCAACAGGTAATAAAATATGGAGATATAAAGCAAATCTCTGGGAAATACAAAGTGAAATTGACAGAAACAAAAGTCAGAATCCAAGACATTTATTTATTCTTTCAGCTCCAAATCTTTTAATTAGGTTAAAAAAGGTAAAGATCATATGAAAAACATAAATAATATAAGTCAATTTAATTTATATATCAAACTACTCCTTGACCCTAAAAAGTATATATTCATAATTAAAACCTTAATACATTTTAATAAGATGTGATCACAGTATAATAAACATGAAGATTAAAATAACATATAACCCAACAATCATTTCTTATAAAAGATATAATAAATTATTTTCTAAATAACTTTTGTATCCAAGAAAACATCAAAACTTTAAGAATACCTGGGAAATAACAATAAGAGTATAGCATATGAGATATTATAAAATATGCCATCGCATTAAATACTTTTGTGATTGAATAAGCAAACAAATTTTTCTCATTGACAGTTTTCATATGGACAGCTATTCTAAACAAAGAAAATTGTTCTAAACAAAGAAGAATAACTGTCAATATGAGGAATTAGAAACAAAATAGCCCATAAATCTAATGAACTCAATCAATTCAAGAAAAAGGCAGAAATTGGTGAGATAGAAAGTAGAAAATTAGTAAGATTAAATTTTCAAAAAGAAGTAGTAGTTTAATCTCTAATAACTTTAATCATACCAAGGAAACCCCAGTATATAAAATGAGGAATGACAATTCAAATGTAAGTGCAGAATAGGTTAAAGTTATAACATAAAAAATGTAAATCTATATAGTGTGACTTTAACATTTTTGAGAAAAATACTTTATCAAACGGAATTTTTAGTGGTAATTTGAAATTATCATAATTGGATAGAGAAGAATAAAACAGAAAGAACCAGGAACAGTGAAAGTTACAAACATATCAAAGATTTATCTCCAGAAATACATTTGGCTCACATAAATTTATACCATGTTCTTCCAATAGGTTGAATATCAAATAGTTCCTATGTTATATAATCTGTTCCCAGTTAATTTAAGGGAACAGGCATAAAATAATCTTTACAGTTGTTTATAGCTACTAAAAATAACTCAAAAAAAGAAAACTGAGACTGCATCCAAATAGAATATAAAAATCACAAATAAGCAACAAAGCACAAAATCACGTGCTATGATTTTGTTCTTTGTTGCTTTTTTATTTGTGGTTTAACAAGCAAGCTATGTTTGAATGTGATTCATTCAAGTAAACAAGGATAATTTGATATAATCCATTAATATAATTTACCTTAATACTGGATGTAAAGGTTAAGAACGTGACCAATTTGGCACAAAATGGAAATATATTTAATAAAATTCAGCAAACATTCTTGGAATAAAGAGTAAATAAAGACTACAAGGATACTTCTTTTAAATTAATGCTATTTATTTTGATGGTATAATCATTAGTTGAGAAGCACTGCTTTGAATAATAATACAAAATAAACACTAAAGGATTCCTCTCAAGCAGTTTTGTATTTTATGAAAAAAACTCATATTAAATAATTATTGTTTATTGCAACAGTCATTAAATATTATTAAGGTTTTAGCCAATGTATTCAGGCAAGAAAAATACATGAGATCTAATTATTGAAAATAATCCAAACTATCTTTTTATGTGGTTTATATAATTTATATTTTGTCCTATAAGACTAGAGAATTATCTGAAAAACTATCAGTTGCCTTCAATAAATGCACAAGTCAACAGCTTTTTAATATACAAGTATTAAAATTTGAAATTATAATGTATAATCTTGTTTAAAATTTCAACTGAAAATATCTAGAAGTAAACTTTAGAAAAATTACAGAATCTATAAAAACAAAAGCATAAAACACTATTCAGAGGCACAAAGGGAGTTTAGAATAAATGGTAATACATAACAAAAATTTGATGGTTCACTATTTCAAATATGTCAAATCTAATACAACTTGAATCACAAATCAAATATATTCATTAGAATCTGACTCATTAAATTCTTTGGAACAATAAACACTTGAAAATAACCAAATATTACTGTTTATTTTTTTAAAAAATATATGCCTCTAATATGAGTAATCTGTTGTTGGCACCAAAACTAAAAAGAATACCAAGAAATAAATACATAATGTATTATTTTTAGAATTTGAATAAATTAGCATTTGAATTTAGTTGAAGACAGGCTGGAATAATTACTAAATGCTTTGGAAAAATACAAAATTAGATTCCCATTTTATGTTTTACTCCAAATTATAGGCATTTATTATGTTATTAATATATTAATTACATATTAAAACAATTATATTATGTTTTACTCTAAATTACAAAACAAAATTTGAAGAACATTTAAGTGAACATGTAATTTAAACTAGTAAAGACTTCTGTGATCTTAACAAGCAAAACAATAGCCATAGCAAGAAATAATAGATTTGACGATATAACAAGGTCAATATTTCTGCATGTCAGTTACAGAATGTAATGACATATGATCAACCAGAAAATGTTTGCAACATACAATGGTAGAGATGAAAGACTA